ACACCCTCTGTACGAAGTACAGGTCCACCCCATCCCCATTAGAACAGTCCACACCATTCTCATTATGGAATCTCTTTCCTCCTCTCTACCATGTGATCCATACAGAAAGTTTTGTGATGCTCAGACCTCTCTTCTTACCTGAACGCAAATGTTTTTATTTTCAAAACTTCCTTGTCCTAAGAACTATTCCCTAAAGGACACAACTATCCATTAAAAAGTATCAATGCCCCAACAAAACAAAACAAGGAGTTCTAGAAACAAGACAAAATGGTAACTGGGAACTCTGCACAGATAAATGATTCTGGGTCCAGCCAAGGGCAGGGAATTCCTTGGGGACATAAAACATCAAGATTCTCAAACAGGTTAACATGGAGGGTGCAGTTCTGTGGCAGCACAGTGGTGGCCCTGCACTACCCAGGTTGGATGAGGTGAGAACTATGAATCATTCCTAGCCTTGGAGGAAAGGCACTGGAACGCTCTGACCTGTGACCTTCCTAAGTACCCCCTTGTGGCCCCTAGATCAAGAGGATTGTCTGGACAAAGGCTCTGATGTGGAGTCAACAGAATTAACTCAGTTTCCAACACAGTCAAGATGCAAGGCTCCAGTTAGTCACCGATTGGGGAACAAAGACACCTTTGAGACTCGGAGCCTGGGAACCCGAATCCTCCTCCCCCCCTTCAGTTTAGGAGGGTTAAGAATGTTCCTGCCTCTTTAAAGAATGAAGGAATGTGGGACCTACAAACGCTGCTGCAGGTGAAATACCTTTTCTTTGTCTGTGTTGATCAGTTTTCTGTCATCTCGGTTTTTCAGTTTGCCCGGGGCCTCGGCAGTCGGCAATGACGAGTGGAAGATGTATAGCTTCCCTGGACAGTCTGCTGCCTGGTACGAGCACAAAGAACATGCCTCCATTATGGTGTGCTTCCTCAGAAACCTTCAGGAGCAACTTTCCTGTCCTGCAGCTCGGTAAATTTGGGGAGCTCACAGGGTTATTATTATTATTAATTATTATTAATTCTTCAATTCAACTTGTAATATGCAGAGAGGGCAGCTAGATGGTGCAGTGGATACAGCACTGGCCCTGGAGTCCAGAGGACCTGAGTTCAAATCCGACCTCAGATGTTTACTAGTTATGTGACCCTGGGCAAGTCACTTAACCCTATTTGACTCAGTTCCTTGTCTATAAAATGAGCTGGAGAAGTCAATGGTAAACCACTCCAGTATCTCCGCTAAGAAAACCCCAAATGGAGGCATGGGGAGTCAGATAAGACTGAAACAACTCAGCCACAACAAATCTACAGGGTATAACTCTAGGTACTAGAGGATAGAGACTCCTAATGACACATCCTCTCCCCACAGGGAGCTTACGATCTATTAGAAAGAGAAGCTGTTTGTGGCCTGACATTTCCAAAAAAGGAAGTCCCAGGGAATGTCCTACTTCTCCATAGGATCATAGATCCGGAAGGGGAAGGGGCCTCAGACAGACCTTATCTCCTCGCTGCGAAGCTCGAGAGATCTGTACATTCAGCTGGGTGGGCCCTTTTCCTGGACAAAGACCACACAGCCTCTTCATAGCTTGGAACAAGTCCCTCTCAACTCACTTGTGAGACCTTGTGCAAATAAATCACGTAATCCCTTGGGACCTCAGTTTCTTCATTTATAAAAAGCGGGTGGTGGTTGTTGGACTAGATGGGCCCTGAGGTCCTTTTCAGTTCTGGGTCTGTGATCATTTGACCCGAATGGGCAGCATTTATTACTAGAGATTTGTTCTGGCTGAAGAAAGAAGCCCAGCCACCACTTTGGGGCTAACTTTCTGAGGAAGAGCTTTTCTGCATTTTGCCAGGCTGGTCCTTGAACGCTAGACACAGAGATGCACTGAGGGGTCCACACCCAATGCCTCTCTTGTTGGGCAGGAATTAATTTGCTGGCACAACCTTGAAAAGTTCCAACTGACCTCAACACCAAAAGGAGGCAGCAGAGTAATGATTGCATAGGATCGTGGGCTTTTAGTGTTGGAAGGGAGGCTGGATTTCACGTGGTCCTGTCCCTTCATTGTAGAGACTGGGAGGTCCAAAGCAGAGCTAGATTCTGATCTCAGGTCATCTGCCTCCAAAGCTCGGTTCTACCTCTCGTACGCTTGTGCTTTAGCGGGAGACTAGCCATAAATACTTGGGCCCTCCATGGGTGTGGGTACTCCCTCCAGTGGTGCAGATCCTTTCCACCTTCTCCTGTATGATACCTGTCCATATCTTCCTCCCTTATTCTTCCATAGAGAAACCACCCAATATGATAGAGCCTTTCCTCCAGGACTTTCCACACCCCATGGGTACTAGGGCAGCTCCTGGGCCGCTCAGTGGCTAGCCCTTGCCCCGACCACCTGACTATGCTATCCCCTTTTCTGAGCAGACATTTCCTGGACGTTCCCTTACGCCTCTTTTGTACGTAGGCGGACGCTGGAAATCAGCTGTAACTGACTTACTTTCATACTCGGTTACACAGAAATAATAAATGTTGGCTTTGTGTCAGGCTCTGGGGATAGAGACAAAAATGAAACAATCTTTACCCTCAGAGAATTTACATTCTTCTGGGAAGGGGTGATGCAACATATACGTAGAAAAGTAACACATACATCAAATACAGACAAAGTCATTTCAGGGAGGGGAGGGCCCTAGCAACTGGGTGGATCAAGATCAGAATTAGGAACAGCTTCCTTTAAGAAGCGGCCCCCGAGCTGAGCTCTGAAGGACACTAGGGATCCCACTGGGCAGCTAGCTGGTGCAGTGGATGGAGCGCTGGGCCTGGAGTCAGGAAGACTCGCCTTCCTGAGTTCACATCCGGCCTCAGACACTTCCTGGCTGGGTGACCCTGGGCACTTGACTTCACTTCACCCTGTTTGTCTCAGTTTCCTCATCTGTAAAATGAGCTGGAGAAGGAAATGGCAAACCACTCCAATATCTTGGCCAAGAAAACCCCAAACGGGGTCAAGAATAGTCAGACACAACTGAAAAACGACTGAACAACAACAGCAGGGACCCCATGAGGGGGAGATGAGGAGGGGAGTGCACTCCAGCCACTGAGACAGGGGACGGAATGTGGTGTAAGGGGAACAGCAAGGAGGTATCTGTGACTAGAACACGGGATGCAGTACGCCTGGAAAAGCATGCTGGAGATGGGCCACAAAGGGCTCAGAAAGCAAACAGGAGTCTTTCCCAGAGGCAAGAAGGGACAACTGGAGCTTCCTGATCACACGTCACAGGAATATTAATTTGGCAGAGAAGGAAGGATCCAGAATCAGTCCAAGGTTGTGAAGTTGGGAGACTGGAAGGAAGACAGGGTCCTCCCCAGAATTAGGGAAGTCATGAAGGGGTGGCAATTTGGGGGAAAGATGAGTTTTGTTTCAAATGTGCTGAGTTTGAGAAGACTATTGTTGCAGATGTCCAGTAGGCAGCTGGGGACATAAAGAAAGTTTAGGAAAGAGACCAGGGTTGGATGTATTTATCTGGACAAAGGTGATATTTAAACTCATTAGAACTGATGTGTGTGTATGTGTGTGTGTGTGTGTGTGTGTGTGTGTGTGTGTGTGTGTGTGTGTGAGAGAGAGAGAGAGAGAGAGAGAGAGCGATCGAAGTGTCATGAAAACCTAGGGAGAAGCAGATGTCTAGGAGGGGATGGTCACCAACAGTGTCAAATGCTGCAGAGAACAATAATGATAGGATCTGAGAAAAGGTCCTTGAGTTTTATAATTAAGATATCACTGGTACCTTTGCAGAAAGAAGTTTCAATTGAGTAATGAGGGGAGAAGCCAGACTCCATGTGGGTGAGAAGGGAGTAATAGAAAGAGAAGTTGAGGCAATGCGTGACGAGGAGGACAGAGGATGACAGCGGGAGGGGTTGGTAAGACCAATGAGGGTGAAGGATAGGGCAGCTTGGTGGCGTTTCTGTCAGAAGAGACAGAAGGGGAATCAATCAGAGGGCCGGGTCTAAGTGAGAAGAAGCGTCATCTCTTCATTAGAGACTGAAATAAGGGAGGGGACAATCAGGGACAACATAGTGGTGACTTGGAACATGGGGCTGGAGAGCAGCTTGCGCCAGATGGCCGTGATTTCAAGGTCAATTTCAGAAGAGTTGAACTGCGCTAAGTGGATTCATCTGTGTGCTGAGATTCATTTTTTTTCCCCATCAGGAATTGGAGACGAAATCCACAGATCAAGTGTTTTTCTGAGCAGGGAGCCAAGAAATGTCAAGTTGATAGCACTTTGGAATTACAGATGGAGAGCTGAAAGGGACCTCAAAAACCATCTAGTTGAACACCTTCCTTTTACAGATGAGGAAAGCGAGACCCAGAGAGGTTACGTGAGTGTCCAGGGTGACAGGAGCTATGAGCCTCGGAGGCACTGGTGACATCATTGTAGCGCTCCCTGCTAGGCCTGCACTTCCGCGTCACATCTCTGCTGCTTATCTGTGTTTCCTTTCCTAGACATCTCAGTTCTTCACTGAGCGCTTCACTCCCATTGTCTTGGCTGGGCATTGTTCCCTGATACCAGCTTCTGGACTTTGCTTCTTTGGGGTACACCTGCCAGGGTACGGGTGGCTATAAAACTGTCCATGATAACAGGAGGCTAGAATTCTTCAGGCAAAATGATGCCACCCCCAGTTGATAAAATCCAGGCAGGACACCCCTAGGTTAAGATTTAGTCTTTTCTCCTAAACCTTGTATCTTGAGCCAGAGATTCCCAGACAAACAGCTGATTTAGGGTTAGAAACTCCAACTTCCTCTCTGGTTTGCCACGCAAATGAATTTGAGCCAGGCTCTCCATTCCCCAGGCCTTAATTAGGCCTTTATTATGCGTTGGTGGAGGGAGTTTTCTTATCTGGGAATTCCTTGTATCAACAAAATAACTTGTCTGTTTCTCACCATTCCCTTTCCTCCAAAACTGAAAGTTAAGTAAGAACTGGAGATAATTTAAAGAGAAGTCCCTTCAGCATGCAACAAATATGGCACGTTTTAGGTAGAAGTATAGAGGTACATTTTTTTTTTTATTGCTAAACTTATTTCTTGCCTGGAATTTTATCTTCACCTCTCATCATGGAGGAGGTCAATTGTGGCTAACTCAGAAGATGTTTCTGCAAAAATTCAGTGTTGACACCGTCTCCTTACTCGTGGCAGGGTCCAATTTTGGCATAAGGATTAGATAAGATGTGAAGAAATAAGATCCCTATTCAAAGGACCAGATCGGGTAGCATGGAAGCATTTAGAGCAGGAAACTCCGTGTCAAGGAGCCGCGTTGGGGAATTTCAGAGACTTTCAGAGAAAATGTGCACAGGAGGTTTCCAAAGAGTCCCCCTTTATCTTTCTGACAAGTCCATTTGGATGTGGATTCTTGTTTGTTTCTACCCCATCTGCTGGGCCTGGGAAGTTTATTACTTCTGACGATTACAGAGAGATTTTCTTTGGCAGCCATCAAAGGGCAAGCAGAGATCTCATTCCCACGGGGGAGGAAAGTTTCCCAATGACTGCCGCTGGCTCCTCCAGGAGAAAACCTTCCCTTCTGCACTTTTCCATGTGGGTTCCTTGGCCTTCAGCTCTGGGCTTATTAATGGTTCCTTTACCATCCCCAGACCTGCCATTTTGAAGAGCACGCCTCTGCTCATTTGTTTTTTTTTGTTTTTTTTTTTGTTTTTTTAATATGAAACAAACAGGCCGCTTTCCCGTACTTAGATGCTTTCCTTTCAAATTCTCCCAAGTGTCAGCCTGTGTTTTTGAGGCAGTTTCCAGTTGATCTGGGGGGGTATATTCTCTCAGAAATTCTATGACCCCAAAGCCCTCCTCCAATGCCTCCTTGTGGTACAGAAGTAACCCTGTGTTCCTGAAAGGTATGGGAGAAAATCACAAGCTCTGGAAGACTCTGCTGGGCAGGAAACCCTTGGAGAGCCCTCCCAGGATGGCTTCTGACTCTGGGGGTCTGCAGGAACCAGTCTAGCTAGGCATGGAAAGACAGGCACACCAGTAAGCTGGCCCCAGAGTTTGGATCGCTCAGCCAATTCTCTCCCCTGGGCCTCTGTTTTCTCATCAAAAGAAGGAGAAGTTTGGCTAGATTAAGAGTTATTTACCTGGGGATCATAAACCCCAAAGGCCTCCATAGGTAGATCTGGGGGTGGGGGGTGTCCTTGAACATGGATAGAAAAAATAACATTTTTGGGGGGGCTAGGCAATGGGGTTAAGTGACTTATCCAGAGTCACACAGCCAATAAGTGTCAAGTGTCTGAGTCTGGATTTGAACCCAGGTCTTCCTGACTCCAGGGCCGGTGCTCTATCCACTGAATTACCTAGCTGCCCCCCCAAAATAACATTTTTATTTTCATAATCTCTAACTGAAATTTAGCACTTCCATCAATGATGAATGCTAAATTATTCTGAGAAAGGGGTCCACGGGCTTTACCAGACTGCCGAAGGGGTCCAGAAGAAAGAAAGGGTTGAGAACCCCTAGCTCAGATGATCTCTAAGGTTCTCTGGAGCAAACGTGCTCAGAGGCTCCCATTGCTAGAGGAGACAAGGTGAGCTGGTGGCCCACTCGCTGATTTAGAATGGGAGGGGTCTTCAGAGGTCATCTCATTCTCTGACCTCACTTTACAGAGATGGAAACAAGTTAAGTGACTTCACTAGGACATACAAATAACAAGTGGTAGAGACAGCCTTATTCACTGTCATCTCCTCGGTGCCTGGCATGCAGTAAGTACTTAATAAATGCTTATTTGTTGAGTGATCCGAATTTGAACCCAACTCTCTAGACTCCAAATCTGAGAGTTTCTCCACCACACTAAGCTGCCTCTCTCTCCTTTTCCCGGCAGAGAACTTCCCCTTTTATAACCCAGAAGTCCAAGGGCTCAAGAACGTCTGAGCTCCAAAGGCACATTAATCAAGACGTTTGGCCCCACTATCCAGGATAGGAGATGGTGCTGGAACAATTTTAAACCTGGAAAAAAATAAGGTTCGTATAAAAACCAGGAAGGAAACATGTACATGCTGGTGCCCAGGCTGGAATGTAGTGATTTCTCCCCGTGACTGAGGGTCAAAGTCCCACACAGACCATCGCAAGTGGCCTCAAAAATGCATTTCCAGCAAAGACTTTCTGATCACAGACCGAGAAGCATTCTGACCTTTAGGGCTTCCATGCCAGCTTGGACGACAGGAGCAAAAACTGTCTCATTCTCGTTAGAATCAGCAAAAATCTCTGGAATCTGGTCCAACAAGCTACGAGAAAAGAGTTAAGGGTCGTCACCAAAAGAAATCCTTCTCTTTTCAGCCCCCAACAATGGCCTCATTTGGACACCCAATACAGGGAAGCTTCACCTATGGCACGTTGGATTGGTCCTGGTCCCTCGGGGAAGGTCTGCGTTCCTCGACCGTGATCTTACACGGTGAAATCAAGGATTTGGGGAGGAGACACCCACACACGATCCTGGGTCGCTCCATGACAGATTGGTCACCTCGTGAGTTTGTAGGATCCCAACACCGAGAGCTGACAAGGCCTTACTCCACTTAGTTCAGCCCTCTGATTTTATGGATGGGGAAACTGAGGCACAGGTGATCTGCCCAAAGTCACCCCGATTCATAGCTGAGCTGTGACTGAATTCGGGTCCTCTGACTGTCATCGAGAGGCACCATGGCACTGGACCTGGACTCAGGAGAGCTTCAATTCCCTCATTTTCCTCATCCCCTGACACTCACTAGCAACATGACCCTGGGGAAGTCACTTAATCCCTTGGTACTTCAGTTTCCTCATTTGCAACCTGAGAGGCTGGAGGGAAGTTAGGCTGGCTTCTAAGTTCTCTTCCAGTTTTAAATCAATGATCCTATGACTTAGGACTGTAGAAGAGAATCTTATCCAGGTAAGCATTGGGGCTGGGGGTATACAAGAAGCAGCTAGTACATGCACTTAAAATGATTATTAAATTTTCAGTGTGCACATTTATACCTCAGAAACTGGAAGGCACTATAAATCAGGGCTTGATTTATTATTTGGTTGAATGTGTAGACTTAAGAAAGTGATAGGAAAATGCCAATGATGCGGATTAAATTGAAAAGTGAGTCAGGTACACATTATTTTGTTTCACAGAGTCAGTTGTTAAACATTTACCAGCATGCCTCTGGTAGGACTGAATGACCTCAGAGGTCCCTTCTAGCTGGGAAATCATTTAGTTCTACCCCTTCCCTTTTCAGATGGGGAAACGGAGGCCCAGAGAGATAAAGCAACTAGCTCAAAGGTTTGTGGTGACTAAGTGGCCAAGCCAGGCCTGATCCTAGGTTTGCTGATGCTAAATCTTGGGCCCTTTCTGGCACTGACTCAACCAGAGACACAGCAATGCCCCAAAATTAGATCTCCACTGAAAACCATGAACCATTCTTTACTTGTGAATGACGGCCTTGGATTCTTGATAGTTGACCAGGAGGCCGTCCAAGAGAGGAACAAAGACCTCCGCCACATCGGTCACCACCATCATCTGGGGCTGGGCCAAGTTGCTCTTGACATTGAAGAAGTGGAGGACTTTGTTATAGGTGACGAATCCCACCCGGATGGCCGAGGTCTCTTCTCGCTCTTCCCTGGAAACAAAACAAAGAATCGGGGATTATTCTGCAAGTTCAGTCACGGAATGAGAAGAGACTGTCTGGGATCGTATACAGCAGCGACCTGCAAAACCCAGCCTGCCTCCGCCCCACTCCTCTCCCCCAAGGACCTTCCCTTTAGACCTCACCGAGCATCTGACTTTGTAATTCTCAAATGCGGCTTCCTACGTCCACCTGGCCCCACTTCCTTGATTCATTTCCTACCCATTCTTTAAAGCCCAAGTAAATGTGACCTGCTTTTGGAAGTGTTCCTGTTATCTCTTCAATGGTAATGACCTTCCTTCTCTGACTGACTCCCCCTCTCTAAGCCACTGGTCTTGGAGGGATTTTGTCTATTGAAGTTAGAGGTGAGGCTGACTGCTCATCCTTGGAGAAGAAGGGAAGGCAATGAACCATGGCATCAGGGCCACAACAGGAAAGAGATTCTTCGGAAGAATCTAATAATGGTCCCCGAAATTTCTTTCTTTTTTTAACTAAAAACTTTGTTTTGACCTTAAATGCCAAAAGCGCATTTTCCCATACAGCAGAACACAGAGAATGATCTATGAAAATGTGAATCTCAACTTCATACCACTAGTATTAAAGTATTATATATATACATATATATGTACACACACATGCATGCACGCAAGTACACACACATGTATACACACATATAATATAAATAGACACACATTTATGTGTATATATGTACCAAATCAATCAATATTTATTAAGCACCTACTATGTGCCAGGCACTGTGCTAAGCACTGGGGATGAAAAACCAGCAAAATATAGTCACTGCCCTCAAAGAGCTTACAGTCTAATCGGGGAGACAACATGCAAACAAATTTGTACAAAGCACGTGAGATATACAGGATAAATAGAAAATATTTAACAGAGGGAGGGCAATAGAATTAAGCGGGGTTGGGAGAGGCTTCCTATTGGAGGTGGGACTTTAGTTGGGACTTAAAGGAAGCCAGAGAGGTCAGTAGTCCAAATGGAGAAGGAAGAGTGTCCTAGGAATGGGGACAACCAGTGAAAATGCCTAGAGCTGAGAGATGGAGTGCCTTATTTGTAGGCTAGCCAGGGGCCAGGATCACTGGATCAAAGAGTATATGGTCGAGAATAAGATGTAAAAAGACTGGAGAGGTAAGAATGTCTAGAAGGGCTTTGAATCTGAAAAAGAGAATTTGGTATTTTATATGTATGTATATATATATGCATATAAAATTCTACATACTACTTTCAAAACTGCCCTACTGTCTGCCCGTTCTTTTGTTCTCTCCTATACATTAAAAAAAATGTTTCAATGACCCTGACAATCCTCTATTCCATTCCCTTTCTCCTTTCTCCTTTCTCCTCTCCTGCCCCATAGAATTATACTCAACTTTACAGGGTTAATTATTCTTGGTTGTAAACTTATTTTTGCCCTTTGGATATTGTATTCTGAGATGGTTATGATGACATATTGTGATAGGAGTGGTATCTGGTTTGTAAATACTGGGAAATTTCAAAAGGGATCAACTGGTCCAGGAGTTTAGGGCTGGAGGCATTGGTGTGGTTTCCTGGCCACCTGAAGTATAAAAAGGCCCAGCCTTTGATTAGGAGTCAGTGCTCCTCTGGCCTTGAAAAGAGCCCCCTTATCCCTCTACCATGCAAGTCGATTTATCTTTCTGACCACGTGCTGTTACCAGAGCCAATATGAAGGCAGAGGGGAAGGGTGTCTACCTGGATCAGCTGGTGAGCACATCCTTCTTGTATCTTTAATTGTTAGGTTAATTTCTCTTCACTGAATTTTTTATGGTTCATGAGTCCTAATCTCAAGCATGAATTATAATAGTGGCCTGGAGCAGTCCTTGTCCAGAACACAGA